GCTAAGTATATCAAAAACAATAATCTATTGTATTATTAAGGGAAACTATATATTCCCGATTACAATTCTCTGAAAATCTATTTACTCCATTTATACCACAAATCACTCATTACTGATTATCTGTATTATACTTGAATCTTTGAATTACTATCCCGAAACTACTATTAATCTAAATACTACAATTATATTATGCAATAGATTCATAACTATTATAATTGCTATTGTACTATCCTAAATCGTAGAGGCTAGGAGGGAGTTCTCTGTTTATTCCCAATTTTATAAAGAGCTTAGTAAGATATCTTAATAGATTTTATTATATATCTGCTTGAAAGTACTGGTTTTGATACTATTATGATAATAGTCAATTAATTAACAAAAATGAAATATTTCTTATTCTATTATAGTATCTATAATTCCAAAGAGGTTGCTTGTTTGTTCTAAAAGAATATCTGAAAGCTTCATAGCTTATCCCTATTCATTATATCTAATCGCAAAGCTCAATTTGTCTCTGAATTCTAGAAATATATCTATAAGTATTTAAGTGTAGCTGCTAAGCTCTTGATTGCTTACCATTCTGAAACTGATAAACAAATCGAAAGGACTAATGCAATACTAGAGTAGTACCTCTAATTGTATATAGTATATTTATAGAATGATTAAATAGAGTGACTCCTACTTGCCGAATTCTTTATCAACAATACCTGATCTGAAAGCACCCGGATAATCCCATTTTTCTCGAACTACAAATTCCATTTCTACCTAAGCTTCGAGCCTATACCATCCCAAAGTAATTATCCTGTTATACAAGATGCTAAAGAATTTATTACTAAAATAAAAACCATTTCCTTATACTTACAAATTAAACTGATTACTAATCAAACTCGATATTTGAAGAATACTGATATCTATTATTCCCTTATCCATAAATATCTATCCAACAACCTAATCTAATTGAATATCAGAAATATCAAGACCCTATACCTACAAAAAAAGCTCGATTGAAAGAATCTTGGGTTCTTCAAAATCTTGAATCCAATAAATCTCTATATCTATAAACTAAAGCTCCTAACCTTAATAAAGATTTATTCTGTTTTCTATATTAATCTACTATATTCTATATACAATAATTCTATTTCTAAACAATATAATCCATTACCATTTCTTATAAAAGTAAATAACCTTAAGTATTTTAAGATTACTGAAATTCTAAACTCCTATTGGAAAAAAAGAGATTATAAAGAATCTTATTTGAAATATATTATTTATTAAATTGACTACAATACGCCAATCAAAAAACCTATAAACTATCTAAAAGACATATAAGAACTAATCCACAACTTCTATTATAGATATTCTAATAAACCTAATCCCACTTAACCGGATCCCGTCTATCTATAGATTGTAAATTATAATATACTGCCTCAATGAAGTTTGATTCTTAAAAAGGGGATAATGTCACAATGTGAGCTTACATGATATACTAATTCTATTAAAGAGAACCAAAAGAAACGCTTGCACCGGAACACAAGCAAGCTAGAGTCTGATTAGACTAGTTTGCTATAAAAATTCTATATATTTTCAATTCAAAAGATTCTATATTATAATTCTTTAAGCTATATCTTAATCCTCAATCTGAACCTATTATCCAAATCAGTATAACTTTGCCAGATTAGGGTAAAGTTATTAGAACCCTATCCCGCCCGCCTGCCCCCGTGATATTATATTCTATTTATACTAAATACTCATATACTAGCTTATGATCTACGATAAGAAGAGGGGTGTGATTATTGAGTAGGCAGGGAGTTGAATTGTATTTTTAGATTTGGAGTTTATGGGAATAGGGATGGAGATGGAGATGGAGATGGAGATGATTTCTTTTTCTTTAAGTATTTTTGAAAATGAAAATGAAAATGAAAATGAAAATGAAAATGAAATTAAATGAAATCAGAGATTAGATTAGAGATTAAATTAGAATTTATAGATTAGATTAAATTATATATAACTTAATATAATATAATAAATAAAAACTTTATAATTTTATTATCTATTTATTAATTGGCTAAGAAGAAATTAATAGAAGATAGAGAGAATATAATATCGATAGAAGGTTTAGATTATTATTTAAGGTTTTAATCTTAACTAGATATCTAGATAGATAATAATACTATACTGTTTACTTAGTGCTTGATGCTTAATAATTGAGATGTCGATTTTTTCTTATATTGTTTTTATCAGTTAGTGCCTATAGATTAGAGAATAGGGAAGTAGTTCTACATCAAGCTTTAAACCAAGACGAAATTAGCTTGAAAGGGAATAGAAAGAGATGGGATAGGAAGTGACCCGCTAGATTCTTATCAGTTAGAATCATATAATTGATACAAGGGAGAGGTATAGCAATATAGTATCTATGAATTTTAGATATAGATATAGATTTTAAGCTTCTACATCTCGGAAAACAATCTACCTGTTCGGATATATAGATTATATATAATCCAAGGTCTCTTCTCCAATAAATTTATCAGTCTTTTGAATAGTGAGATGTATAATTAAATACAATCCCGAATGTCTACTCATATGTCCAAACCTTCTACTCTTTACTAGCTAGCTAGCGCTATATATAAGAACTAATACAACAATAACACATATAGATCATCTCCCCGCTCAATCAAAGTCCTTAGTCTTCCTGGCTCTGGGACTGCTATGGTGATAGGCTGCTTGTTGTTTCAAGTTCGTGTTGGTTTCTTTATCGTTTGTCTTTTTAGATCGATTCGATTCGATTCGATGAGTATCATCTCGATAGATAACCAACCACATGCTGGTATGATAGGATATATATAACATATAGTTTGATAATATACCTACCCATAAACATCACGGAACTATTCCATCGCGAGAAACCCACACATTATAAGGAAGTTCCTATTAAATTTGCGGCTCTAGGGATACCCTATAGTAGCAAAGTTAATAACTATATTCGAATAAAATGTCTGTATAAATTCCTGTATAAATATTTAATATATATATTATTGAATTAAAACTTTTTTTGTTATTAACGAAATATATGCTTCGTTATTAACGAATATTTCTAGTTCAAAATGACAATTGTTTATTATTGATATTTTAATAGAAGAAAAGAAAATAAGGGCCCAGAAGGGCCTTTAGAGATTTTTAGGAAAGATAGTGTAAAAGAGTAGAAGGTGGTAGAGTCATAGAGTAGTCCTTCGCAGATACCACAGATAAGTCACTGAGACGTAGCGCCTCTGGCGGAGGAGAGGAGAGGGAGGCTCTGCATAGCGCTTCACAAGGCGTACAAGAAGTTGGGTGGGAACTAACTGTCCTTTTTCTAAACTACACAAAGAAGACCTATAAATACTAGCTACAAAAAGAGGCCACGTGACCCGTACTAAGTTCCGCTCACAATAGACGGAAGAGAAGCGAGTATAAAAACTAAGAGAAGAAGGGGAGTTAGTATAGAAGCTAGAAGGAGGTTAAAGAGATGAACAGGAGCTAAGAGGATAAGGGGAGTGAGCAAGGGGGGGGGCAAGTATAGAAAGTTAAAGGGTGGGAAAGGTATTAGCCGAAAGTCTAAAGGGGAGGAGGTTTCCTTTCTATACTATTCACTCATTTTCGATTTATTCTTCAATCAGAAGCTTTACTATTATATTATACAATATCGAATATACTATTTAAACAAGAATTCTAATCAATTCTAATCTATATAGTTTCGATTAATAATCGAATTTAATATAAATAAACTTTTTTATATGAAAATAATCTTAAACTAAATTAAAAACTTTCGAAAATCAAGAAATTTCGAAAATTTCTTTAAATCTTTTAAAAATAAAATTTTCTTATTATTTATATATAAATTAATTATATTAATACTTTATAATCCATTTTCTCAATATAATATTAAAAATTAAATTTTTTATTATATTTAATAAAACAGTAGTTTTGTCAACTACGGATTCTGCTACTATAGGAATATGGATATGTTTTGATATCGATATCCTGGGTTATCGTGTTGGGATTCTTGGTATGTATGTATGTATGTATGGGTTTGTTTGTTTGTTTGTTTATTGAGTGTTGGGTTTTAGATTGATAGAATGGAATTTTTTTTCAATGGAGGTGGTATGAATGATTGTTAATGGAAATTAGATTCGAGGAGTGAGGAGAGAATAGATTGTAAGATTACTATTCTTGTTATATCACCTGATGTATCTTGGAGAATGATGTGTGTTCAGAATGGCTATTCGGGAGAGTGAGAAGATGATTGTGCTGGTGAATAGGATGTTAGTATCTAGGTATGCATATATTTGTTACTCGGTTGCTTGTTCATGAGTATATTCTAATTTACGGATTGGGGATGTGTATGAATCTTGAGAGGCATTTCAGAAGACTAAGAAGGAGATTTTAGATTTTCTTGAGAAGGGATATCACTCGGTATAGCATTCATGATTATCTCGAATGAACAGGTTCTGATATACTTGTATTAGGGTTTGCGTTATTCCTATTTCTTCTGTAAGTGGAGAAAACTATGCTGGGGAGCCTTCAAGGAGTTCTTGGTATGATGAGAATTTTAAGGGAAGTGCTACGGTTTTGAGTGCTCTGATTTCTGTTCTGGTGTGATGAGAGTGTGTTCATATTGTTTATCTCTTGAATTCTTGTGCCCCATTTTCTGTATAAATTCAAGCCATGAACAAATCTAACAAACAAAAAGTGAAGCAAAAAACCTATTTATCGCAGGCGTGTCCTTCCCCCAAAGTGACGTAAATAGTAGGGCACTCCTACAATCAGACCTCAATTGCAGTTGTGAGACTGTTGAAACAGATATTTTTTTCCATGACTAAATCGAGGGGACATTATTAGTCTAGCAATAATATTGGCTGTTGATTCTTCCACGAAGTTGACGAATATACGTATCATCATTCGTTTTCAATGTCCAGCTCCTAGAACTCTAAACCTGAGAGCATTTTTAAATCCTAAGATATCTATAGTACCTAAACAATAGTTATTTGAGACATCTCAATAGCATCGAATAAATTCCTAAGACTTTTAGGTTGCATACAATCGTTCAAGGCGTGTCCGCTGAGGTCACGGTCAAATAGACCAACACGCCGATAGTATCCGTTGTCCAGTCTTTTTAAAATCAAAAACGACTGATTAAATCCACGAGGATGGGAATCCGGCCTTTCTTTCAGTAGCACGAGTGTGCATGCTTCGGCCTTGAGATCCTCAGGGACATCGTAAAACTTTTGGAAGATTTTTTCTTGCTCGCTATTCATCAGCTGGACTTTCAAAGAGAGAGCTTTGGCTTTGAGAACGAGTTTCCCGGACTCTGGTGTGTTGCCAATCTCAAGACATGTGATTTTTAAAACCGGTTGGAAAGTGTAAAAGTAAATCGGACAATCAATTGAGACCCAAGACCAGGAAGGAACACGATCATTTCTCGCATTTTCATGCTGCGTATCAAGTTCGTGCCGAGGAAGCACCATCCAAGACAAATGTTGTTCGACTGTGCTTCTCATTACGCCAAAAACATGCTCGTCATTCCATACCAAAGCGAGTTCTTTTGCAATACCAGATATGGCAGGCAAGCGATCTTCAGGATTTGTAAGATCACGCCCCGTGAAGTCTTCAACAATAGAGTTCCAAATCTGACCGCGATGAAGGGCGTCTGGTAATTGTATTGCTACGTCGCGTCCAAAGATATTTGCAGGTACTTTAGCGTTTGCCTGCATGTACGTCCAAATACTTTTCGCCACTGGCTCGTACTTCAAAGACTGGCAATGCCATAGTAGCTCCGTAGATCGAAACGAAAGCAGTCTGGGTGATAGTATTGATTCCTGGAAACACCAGGCTCTGCGATTTATAGGATCTCGAGACTCTCCGATGAGTTTTATCTTAGAAATATATACCTTCGACAGGGATTTGTCCGGCAAGCAGAATGGGATCTCTAGTAACTCTGGAGAGGGTCTATGATTGAATAACCCCCCGTCTACTGAAGTTGCGCTTGCCGCAGATATTGTCACCGTGGCATTCTTAAAAATGTCTCCCATTGCCTCAATCTCTCTGGCTTTATCAAGATCACTATCTTGGATGATGCACAGTGCATCAATCCAAATGTATCGTATTCCAAGTTTCCTCGCGATGAGAATCGTGTCCTTGAAGGTCAAAGGTAGATTATCAATATCAAAGCCACGCTTGTTTTGTTCCAGAGTAGAATTGGTTGTTGTGAAGCTCTGAGGTCCTCCCCAACAGTAACTCAAAGCAATATAGTCGTCTTTATGATCGGGTCTACTCACATGTAGGCGAACTAGACTTTTGGTTTCAGATTCTATTCGAAGTACTCTCGTGGGTAATTTTGGTGTAGAATATCGACAAAGCTTTGAGTGATGATGACGGCAGTCATCTAACCATTTCTTTATTTGGGGGATGATCCTTTCAAAATTATCCTTGGTTACAAGAGGTTGCCGCACAATATACACACCCGCCCGACTCCCTAGAAGACATGAATTAGTAAGAAACGGTTACACGAAGAATAAGCTCACCTTCATCAGCCAAAATACAAAGCCGGTTGGATGGATATTCGGAGGTGTTGACTTCAAGTTCATCAATTTTGCATCCATGATACGGATATTTAGTTAATTTAGCAGATCCCTTGAGTCTCGGAAGTAAGCATTCTTTAACAAACATCGAGATCCTCTTGGAAAGGAGCAGTCTATCTTCGATCCTTTTCTCAGCGAGCCGAGTGTGCAACGTCACGTACGAATTTCCAATTCCGAATGAATCAAAGGTTGCTTCTATAAATTTACATAACCCGCATCCGCGAAACGCTGCGTTTTTAACCCCTATTACAGTGTTGTGCTTATAGCCTTTTCTGGAGGCGAGACGTTTCAGGTTCTCAATTGTAGAGAACATTTGTTTGCAATAATGGCATAGCTTCTGAGTCTGAGCCGTCTCAGGTGGTGGAGTAGAGACTTCCAGAGAATCGGGTTCCATCAAATCGACAGCGTCCACATGTTCCAAAGCATCCAGATGATGTTGATCTCCTTCCGGTAGTGCAGAAAGATCATCGACCGAAGAATTCGCCTCGAGTTGTAATGTACTCATCTTAATGGGACATGATTTCGAGGCGCAAAGCTGATAGATTGTATTGAGACAAGACAAGAACACTTGACACGATGCCGATATTGCTGATGAATTTTCAGAGTCGAGAACAATGTAGGATCGCAAATTCAGGTATTGAAAAAGATACAAAGTGTCCAGAATCTGCACCGAGGAATCACGATTGAGAGGAGGAGTAGTTTGTAAAGTAATAGACGACCTTGAGGATGCGGGGCTTAATTGCTGACTGCCTATCGCACAATCGCCCCCAATGAAACGTCGTCAGCCTCATTATGCAGAATCTTTACTCGGAGTGTGGTAGTATGCTTGGTGATTCGTTGAGGTTGAATATGTAAGCGTCAAGGCCTGCCAAATGGTGGGAAAATAAAGCAGAACAATAACATGTGATGTTCATGATGATGATTAGAACACGTGCTAGTGTTAGCACTATGTTACACGCGGGTAGATTTACTTTCTCAGGGCATACCTAACTCTTTCCACTTATACCTGAAACTACTTTCTACCTCAGTATGTACTTTCCTACCGTAGTCCACTTGCAAATGATATAAACATCATATAAAATAAAACATGTCGTTCTTTAAAAGTAATCATGCCTTGCAGGCAGGCAACTCGTCGGCCGGTTCAACTGTTTAACACATGATCTGTATCACATGATAGTCACATTTGGTGCAAAGCTTTCATTGGTCATAGTCTCATCTATTATTCTCTCCATATCTCCGTCTCGTTCTAGAGTTCATAGCTTAGATTTCACTGTTTGTATTGCCCTGAGAAATATCACCTAATCATCATCACTTTCACCCCGACTTCTTTTCTCACCCATTCAACTCTTTCCCCTCCCTAGTCTCATCCGATCCATCCTCACCCACAGTTTGCCCATCTTTTCCCATAACACTGATGTCCATCTCCCCATTCCGAGACCCATTCCCGGAACTATCTCTATAAATCATGTGCTCCACATTGATCTTTGGCCCCTTGAACCATTTCCGAGCACTGATCGCATACCAACACATAGCCAGAGTCATTGTACCTCCGTATATTAAACATGTGTAATTCATATTCAGATCATTTAGATCTGCTTCTGTGACTGAAGGAAAGCAGAGAATGGGAATAATGAGGGATACCCATCCGACAGCTATGACACCAATGGGTGTTGAGAAACGACCTAGATTCCAGGGACCTATTGCTAATCAGTCAACAACTCCAAGTTGATGAATAGGAGAATAGCGAGAGAGATTGAAAGAATACGGAGAACTATACCAGGACGAAACTTCCCCTTTGCGCTAAAAACTTTCAACGCAATAGGGAATACAAAAGCAATGTATTGCGCAATAGCACCCATGCTAAACACAGCGCCAATGGCAACTGGACTAGCGAACATGAGGAGGCCAAGAAGTGCACCTAGAGTAAGGACAAACCAAACGGCGTACACGGGTGTTTTGGTGTGAGGGTTTACTTGTTTGAGCCAATGAGAACCAGGGAGAGCACCATCGCGGGAATAGGCGTAGACAACGCGGGATGAGACGACTGTGACACTTAAGATGGGAGTTAGCTAACCTTTTTTCACATAATAAATCAAAGAATATGGGGAGATTGGTAGTTTACCCTTGACCAACAAAAAACTGAGCGACCATGTTGAGTGAAAACATTGCAAGTCCAGCTTTTGGGCCAAGAACTTGGAGGCATAAGCTTCCCTGTCAAGAGTCAGTCAGAAACTCAAAGCTCACCGAAGAGTGATATTCACCATAGGTTGCCCATACTCTCCAGAAACCACATTTTGGATATCCTTCACAGTATACGCAATGACCAAAATAATCGCCCAACCAAGCCACAGTCCTAACTGAGCTGTCATGATAATAGCCCTCGGACCAGCAATATTTGCATTTGAGCACTCCTCACTCAAATGAAATGGTGCATCATAGCCAGACAACGTCCACTATTCCATGTTAGTCTAATTATTGGTGCAGATTAAGCTGACTCACAATAACAGACAAGAATCCCATCAAAAAAGCAAATCCAGTAGGCCATTCTGTCCCATTAACAATACCCTCAGAAGTCCACACCATACTGCTTGAATTTGTCTTCGGTTCATTGATCGAACCCGCTGGGAACCAAATGACAAAAATTAAGAGTACAATCACATTCGTGATAGTCCCAACTGTATTTAGCACTCCAATGAACTTAGTAGAATTCATAGCCAGAAGACCTTGTAAGACTAGCAAAGCCAAAAGTAAAAGATATACATGCCATGTTTGAACAACATACTCCGGATGAACAATTTGAGCCGCTGTCAATATCATAGCTGCGAGTGCATAGTTAACCGCACACGGTGCTGTTACTTCACCAGCAAAGTTCGACCATCCGGTTATCTATCAAGACATTAATCCAGATTCAAATATCGGAGAATTGAAAACATACCCAAGAACACAAAGGTCCATAACCCTCCGGTGCCAAAACAGCCGAAGCATAATAAAGACCCCCTGCTGTCGGCATACTCGAACACAATTCCGCCATCGCAAATGCTACAAATTGTATCAAGATACCCGCAACGAGCCATCCCCATACCGAGCCCGCTATTCCACTATACCCAAGATTATAGCCCAGAGTCGATGCGATCGATGGCAAGAGGCCTAAACAGGAAAACGAAACTCCAAAAGATGACCATATTGATAATTCTCTTTTGAATTCTTGTTTGTAGCCTAAGGAGACAAGAATCTCTTCGTCGGTGTCGACTAGATGGTCGATGACTGCGTGATCTCCTGTGTTTTGGAAGATGGATGTGATGTGAAGGGTATTCTCATCTACTGTATGTTTACTTTTTAACACCATATTGAAAGTCGATGGAAATTGGGGATTTTCTGACGACGATTGAAGAACCTTACTTAAGGCTGACAGAAATAGAACAAAACAGTCCAACTCTGTAGAATGTAGCACGTCGTAAACTCGACGTGTACAAACATCGTTGATCTTCAACAGTTTATCTAATTGTGGCACTAACCATGATAAGCAAATGCAAGTAACATGATATGTTGTGTGAATATATATTTAGGAAGGTAGTAGTGAGATATGCCGAGATCGTCCAGATCAACTAATTGGTTGAAACCCGATGAGATGGTGAGTATATAACGGCCGAGATGGCTCAATGCTGATGTTTTCGTGGGGTAAAATCACCTGCGACTGGTCACCCTTCTCGGCATACATATTGATGACCGGATGAGCACCACTCCGAAAATTAAGAATTGATCCCTATGGATGATTCAAATGCTGCAAGAAAACACTCCTAATTAGTCCAAATTACGAGTATTCCCAATATGCGAAAGCTTGACGATGTATTGGAGAGAGACTAAGAGTCGCAATGGCACAAGATCACGAACGACAAACATGTGAACTTTGCTACATTCTTTTATGTATTAACATCTATTCTCGGAAGCTGAGAAGCCCAAAGGTACGATTTTTCTAATCTCTACACTAATTACTATACATCCTTAGTCGTACATATTTCATCCTTGTGAATTGGTAAGTCCTTGCGAGCTGCTCATTCAACCCACCTACTTTGCAGCCATTATCATTTCAAATCAAACCTAAGAGCCACCATCCTTTCGTCGTAAAAGCACCTCAGCTTTAACAGATGGTGTCAGGCCGATTCCACTTCGTACAGTCTTGCGCACAAAGCTTTGGGAGCTAATGAAATCATCTGGTCTCTCCTTTTCGTGTACATAAATTGCCGGCTGAGCGCAAAATTCGACAACCCAATCGTTATTATTTCCACCCTTTCTAAAATGAGCGAGTTCGTTGGTCATAGATTTAGGGTCATATAGAGTACCTGGTGCAAATGAAACCAACTCATAATCCCTGAAGTTCAATGTGGATTCTGCTTTGCTTTTCAAGGCCAGACGAAACATTCCAACGAGTCGAGATTGGCGATCCTGCCATGTCTCTTTATCATCATTCCATGTCGAGAATCCGTTCCAATTCTTGAAAACCTCGCTACCAGGATTCTTGGCGAATAGTGGTTCCATAATTTCGGAGTATTTTTTAGTCAGACGCTCTGCTTCGGGGTAGATGTATTGGTGTTTGAACTTTGCACTCGAGATTACATCGTAACGAGCAGCCAAATCAAGATTTCTCATTGCGTTAGGTCCGTCTGATAGTCAATTAACAACATATTTTGGATTCAACGAGGAAATGTTAAACTTACCTGAATCAATCATTTTTTTTCGGATGCTCTTTACATAGTCTGAGGATGAGCCCTCAAGTTGCGGAAAATCGGACTCGAATACCCAGAGTTTCAGGAAGCTTGCTGTCAAAGCTCTGTGGACCGCGAGTGTGTCGATGGATGAAAGGCTGGCTCCAAGGTCTTCAGCTGTCTGTCGGAGTGTATCGTCTTGGCCGAAAATATCAAGAATGATCTTTTTGAGCTCCTGGTTCTGATCCAGCCCGGGAGGGACAATTACTGGAACATAATCGAATGGTAGTTGATCAATTATATTAAATGCATCAACCATATTTTGAACACTCTCATATCCGAAGGTCTCGTCGGATGTGGCACCGAGCTGTGTAAACCTTGATAAGAATCGACGAGTCTGCTGTTCCTTCCTTAAGGTTTTAATCTCTTGATCTTTTTTATCTAGAACAACCTCTGGAGAGTCTCTTGCCAATAGCCACAGGTTCGACCTTAGATGACTTGCATCCCTTGCTTCGATTTCTCGACTCTCTTCTTTTTCAATAATTTCCAAATCTTTTTCTTTGAGAATCTCACGCAGGTGTGAGATTTCCTCCTTCGCCAAACCAAGCAATGTACTGTCGGTTTGCAATTCATTGCTTGACTCATCGCACATCTCGCTGCTTTCCGAAAATGGCTCATTCTCAATGTGCTCCTTATAAGGGTCTTCGGTGCTGCATCTTTCGCACGAAAATTCTATATTCTTTGCTTCTGTGATTTCCACTCCAACACAAACACAATGCTGCCATATACTGCAGTTTTTGCACTGAACCCAGTCGGTATAAGACTGTTTATTCATGCAGATGCATCCTGTTTCTTCGTCAGTCATGTCATCTTCAACATGGTGAGCCGGTTCACTGAAGCTCAGACGTTTTTCACGAGATTCGGATACTGCTGGTGCGTTTTTATATGAACAACTGCCTTGCAAGCCCTTCTTCATACAACTGGAGCAAGCAGGACGAGCGCCATTACATGCCACCTTTCTTCGTCGACAATGATCACATCTTTGTGATAGTCTTCCCTTGCGAACAGATGTTGACGATTGAACACGAGCAATAGTTTGACCATCCTCGCTGGCCGTTTGCGTGTTTTCATCCTGGCTATCTTCGATGATGTGAGAAGATTGATAGTGAGTCCGCGAGAGGGGATCAGGTGAATAAGTCGAAACGGGCTATATTTTTCATACATCAGTATATATTCAAACAACTAGTATGTATTAACATTGAGGATATACTAACATTAACCTTTCTTTTCTTGGTGGCAGATTGAGATACCTCTGTGTCAAAATCGGGGTCTCTGGTCTTACGCTTGGTATGTGCTTTAGGAAGAATTGAATTGTGAGTTTCCTTGCCCTTTAGTTCTGGTGAAAAGGTCGAATCGGGCTATTTTGTTCAACGGTCAGTTTTTGTTCAAATAAAAAGCAGAAATCATAGAATGGGGTTTAAACGAACAGTGAGCTTTCTCTTTTTTGCGGCGTTTTGAGAATCCTCTGGAATCGAACTAGCAACTCTTTTCCTAAGCTTCATAGGAGTCCTGGGAAGAGTTGAGCCGGAAGTCTTTTCGCCTGGCACTTCAGGTGCTGGCTTTTGAGTATTAGCCTGAGCATTATTACGCTCATGTTTTTTCGATTTCGAGCCACTATCGGTAGATCTCGACGGTTGCTTGCTGGCGCGGAGCTCAACTTCAAAGTCTTCACAAGCAAGCGCGATTTGGTTTCTCAAAGCATCTGGAAGATTGACCAGGCAGATGCAACCTTTGTTTATGATAGTTCTGCTTCGAGTACTATCTTTGTCGCGGGTGCCCCATTTATCCAGTAAACCTTGCAGCTTTCGAGAGACTTGTTTACTAGTATAATCCACATCGCACTTTTGTTTGAGGTGAGAAACTACAGTCTTGTCAAAATCGATATTGTCATGTTTGATTGCAATATCAACCCAAGAGAGCAATTGGACAACATGACTCTCCAGCCATTTTGCGACGAGGTGTTTTTGGGCCATTTTTAATTCAAGATCTTGAGAGATGTTGATGGAGGTTGGAGTTGATTGTGATTGAAGTTGGTTGAGGTTGAAATTATGGAGGTTGAAGTTGATGGAGGTTGATAGATGGAAGTTGATGGAGGTTGAAGGTTGAAGTTGATTGCGGTTGAAGTTGATTGCGGTTGAAGTTGATGGCGGTTGAAGTTGATGGCGGTTGAAGTTGATGGCGGTTGAAGTTGATGGAGGTTGAGATTGAAGTTGGTTGAAGTTGAAGTTGATAGAGGTTGAAATTGATAGAGGTTGAAATTGATAGAGGTTGAAATTGATAGAGGTTGAATTGATGGAGTTTGAAATTGATGGAGTTTGAAATTGATGGAGGCTGATAGATGGAAGTTGATGGAAGTTGATGGAGGTTGAAGGTTGAAGTTGATGGTGGTTAGAATTGATTGATCGAGAATTCTTAGAGTTTGTAAAATCTTTGTGGGATTCGAGTATCGGATACCCACATGATATGAAGCGGCACGACTGTATTAAATTTTCCAATCAAAAAGATATTGTCGCGAAATGAGTGAATGTGGACACGTGATAACGCGCTAGCGGTTTGTGTAGGAATTACATTCACTTCTCTGCGTACCTAGTACACTTTTAATGAATTTCTGATTGATAATTTTAAATGTTATATGAAAAGGCCGACATCGCGATCGAGGCTATACTGAAATACGAACATACTTCGTCTCCAATAGCTTGTCAGCTTTGAGAGTCCTTCACTAAAGTGTTAGAAAGTTGGCACTCATCAAATCATTCAGCCTCATACAGAAACCCATCTTCCAGGTTAGTTACACAATCATGAACTCCTCTCCTGACTCCCTCTCAATGTCTCATACGTTCAAAAACAACCGAACATGCCAAAATATTATAGCTAATTCAAAAGTGAACTCACCAGAGTCAGAAATGTTCTCACCACGTGCGCCGGAGGCTCCCAATCGCCCAAAACAAGAGCCCCGTGAATCAAATTTCTTTGCAACAGAAGACAATATGACTGCCATCGACGGCGGCTCGCCAATGGAGATCGATAGTAGAAACGAAAATGAAGTTGACCGTCTGATCATTTCAACTGATTTCGGAACGACATTTAGTTGTGTGGCTTTTGCCAGCAGCAAAGGTGACATCGGCATCGTGAGGGGATACGCCACTGATCCAATGTCGATTCAAAAGAAGCCTCGATTTGACGTGCCGACTGAGAGTTGGTATCCGACCAAAGCCAAGCTGGAAGAACTGATGATAGAGAGAAATGCAGACATCGATGAGCCGATGCTGAGATTTGACGACGAAGGTGATTCAGATGATGATGATCTCAATGATGCTCAAGCACAATCTGGTTTAAGGCCGAATTTCATGTATTGGGGTTACGAGGTGCAAGACAAACTGAGCGAGCCTGATTTGGATAAGAAGCAATACAATTGTATCTCGCGGTCGAAACTGTTGTTGGACACCAGTTATGAAACTGAGAATATCCGCAAGGAATTGAAACCAGTCTTGAAGAAACTCAAAGCTAAAAAGTCCATCAAAGCCAACGAGGATGTTATTGCCCAATACCTCGAACAGCTCTTCTTGCACGCGAAGAAATACCTAAAAGAAATCCGGAGACTCAAAGATACAACAATCGTGGAACATGTTTTATGCGTACCTGTAATCTGGTCGCCCAGTGCATGCAGAAAAATGCAAAGCGCCATGGAAATTGCTATCCAGCAATCAGAACTTGGTAGCATTAACAACCTGTTTCTTGTGTCGGAACCTGAAGCAGCAGCAGCTTATGTGCTTAAATACAGCAAAAGCATTTCTGTGAGTAAAGATGCTCCATAAAAGGTTCTCCGACTGACTGTGTGAAGACAGGAGAAACTTTTATACTTTTAGACGCCGGTGGAGGAACAGTTGATGCTACCACATACACTGTTGGTGATAAGGAGCCACTTGAACTAAAAAGAGAAGAGGTAGCTGCACAAGGTAGGATCATACATCTTATCATATAGTTTTTTGATTATCTACTGATCGTGCAAAGGCGGACTTTACGGCTCCAGCTACCTGAACGAAGCATTTAAAGAATATCTATTTGGTCGCCTGGAGAGTGAAAAGTCTGACTTAGAGACCGATGGGAGAACTATTGAAGGAATTGTTGACCAGCAAACAATTAAATTCGAAAACTCATTGAAGAGAATAATGGATGTGACAGATAGGAATATGGCAACGATTTCTCTCCACATACAAGGCCTTCGCGAAAATCCAGAAAAGGGCTTTGCAGACAATCGCATTAAAATTAAGAGGTAGTTGAATCTGTGCCCTTGTGCTGGTCGTGCAACTAACACTATTTAGAAACGATTTCTGGAGAATGTTTGAGAGATGCCTCCGAGGCAATATGGAGTTAATGCTCGATCAGATTAAGCTGTCGAGAGAGGCTGGACTCACTATAAAGGTATTGATGGAAGAAACTCCTAGCGGTTTGAAAAGAGCTAACTCGTGCTGGCACAATCTAGAAAGTTGTGTTAATTGGAGGATTTTCTAACAATCCATCTCTCAGAAAGACATTGGAAAGACGACTAAGAAAACTCCAAAGAGACGAGGGTATTACCATCAGACTGGAAACCGTAAATGATCCGGAATACCTGTAAGATCCCACCCCGAGTCAAATGTTCGACTGAGCTGATGAAATTGTGACAGAGAAACTGCGATGGCCAGCGGCGGAATCTTGCGGGCGCTCGATAAGGAAAACGATGGGCTAGAGAGAATCAGCTTATGCAGCTACGGATTCTTCTTGCAGGAAGAACACGATCCGATAGGTATCCCGGCACATAAAAAGGTTAAACCAATGACCGATTCAAGTGACGGTGTACCATATTTGGAGGTGATGGATTGGGTAGTCAAGAAGGCGAGTTGAATTTTTTCTCGACACTCGCCTGTTACAATACTGACCATCACCCAGGGAGAAATTATCCCGGCCGCCAAAAAATATCGTATGGACGTACATTTCATCTTTCCCGCAACACGAAAGACCTTTATCTATGAACAAGAATTATATGTCTCGGACACTAGCACTGAGCAACATTACAAATTCACACATCCTAAGAACAGAGGTATGTAGTCTAAGGGTTCAAAACGTTTGGCTTGTCTAACAGTGTAAAGGAGCTCAAATAGTCGGAACGGTTCATTTGGACTTCGGCGAATTGATCAGATCTGGAGCTATCCAGGAGACAATAGAGCAGGACGGTCTCAAACTATCGAGGTATTATAGAGTTGATTTCGAGCTTGTGATGAAAATAAAGGGCCGAAATTTGGAGATAAAAGGTTGCATTGGGGGAGAATCATTTGGTGGTCAGGAAGTCAGCATTGCAGCAGCCTTCGTCCCTGGTACAAAGTAGCCTTGGGAAAATTTTGTAAGTATGATTAATGGCAAGTTCATAAGTTCTCATTTCCTTACTGAGCTCACTGGCGACTTTGGTGTTTGATAGGGCTATCTTATGGTGCGATCAGAAGTACTCTTTCATAGGGACAAGTTCCAGGCGGCACAAGTCTATCCCCTTATTCTGGAATCGTCTTCGTGGCGATTTGGGTTAATGCTTTTTTACTTCCCAAGCTAGGCATCGCATTAGTTAAAGGAACGAACATCAATGAACATAGTCTTCTCTTTTATAGGAGCCCTCTTCGATGAACTTTGATTTGCATATTTTTCAATCCTGCCCAGTCCAATGCACGGCATTCTCAGCCGCGTGGACATTCAGACTGAGAGTCGCAAAGAAATTAAACCAGCCAAAACAAAAAATTAGTAAGAGTGCCTCGAATGGACCTGAAGGCATGGTTGTGATAGATCTGAAGCGTGCTGGAAAGAAGTGAGGACAAACAGACCAACAAAATTATCTCATCATGACTAAGCAAAAATACTTGGCAAGACCCAGTCAATTCCTACTCGTGAACTAACCACATCCTCTCCGTCGACATCTCCTTCCCCTCTTAGATTTTGTTTTGCTCTCCGCTCTCCGCTCTTCTGATGAATTCTTAAGTTTTTCGACGATGTTTTTGTGTCGTCCATATCAAGCACGCGTGGTTGCTCCGGAACACGTGAATCAGCGTCTCCTTATTTACCCAACTTTTAATGTCATCTTTTGTCTTGACCACCATTTCTTATGGTCATCAAGTACCCTCATACTAACAGTTTGAGCTCCTAGCAGCTTCTCTTGATTCTTTCTTCTCCGCACCTATTAATTTCTTATAAAAGAAAACCTCCGTCTTCAACTCTCCCGTTTGAGACCACACATCATACTCCGGTATTCTTCCACACTAGTTTCCCAATTAGTCTGCGTCCAGTAACATCTTCATCTCATCATGAAAACAAGATTAACTAACCTCTATGTACCCCATTCTTCTATAAATGCCCTCTGCTGAACTTCCTACATCTGTATCAAGCATCTGTCGGAATGTCAACGAACCGAACCAAATGGAACGAAGTAAATCTATAATAGTAAGAACATACCAATAACCAAGCACCCATCTCCTCTGCAACTTTTTCCGTTGCCCTCATGATCCCCGTCCCCACACCCTTTCCCCTAAACTCCGGATCTACCATAAATTTCTCCACAAATCCTCTATGAGGCCCGGTTTCACATGAGGGTGTGGAGAGCATACAGACACCTGCTACTTGTACTTTTTCTCCTTCTTTAGGTTGAAGCATCACGAAAACAATCTGCCGCGTTCCGGCTTTTACTTCGGAGAAGCGATCCTGCCACCATGATTCTACTTTGGAGATTTTCTCCGGCGGAAAAGGGGGGAGGAAAGTGAGAATTGGATGGGGCGGAGATTCGACGCAGGTTTTGTGGAGATGGACGAACCCGGGGAGGAGTGGGAGATGCTTCGCGGGGTCGAAGACGATGGGTTGGGAAAGTTCTGGTGAGGAAGACATGGTGGTTATGGAGAGTAGGGAATCAACGGGACCGGAATCATTCACGATTCACTTCATTTATATCATGAATTGTGTATGAGGCTTCCAACACACGGCATAAGACTCATACGGCGAACAATTGAATAGTTGGAGTCCGGTGTCCGGAATCGGATATCGCAACGCCGTTTGCCATACATGTCGATGTGATTGGCTGCTGCCTTGTTTTGCGGGGTAAACGAGCACAATCCATCTGGAAGATGGGTCTTGATAAGGAATCTTTTGGTTTATTGATATCAAAGATTGTGTCGTTCTGATAAGATACATACTTCGTAGAACTTCACATTATCCCCCTATAACAATTAAACGAGGAAGGGAGCAGAGAATATCTCGATGAAAAGGTGGCGGGTCTCCCAACTCACTCAGCGAGGAACCGGGTTAATACTGTTCGTGTTCAATACCAAGTCAAGCCGTGTAATCCTAATCGGTCTGTCAAAACGCAGTGGCAAGCTCGGCAAGCTTTTCGTTTTGGTGTAATTCTGTTCTACTTTGAGTTCGGGTCGTACAATTACTTACATGGACATTTGTCAGACAGAACAGTATTCGGTAACGCCGATGTCCGCAGACATCCGAATACGCAGACACAATATCCAAGTACTGGGGAGACCTGACATTGGAAAAGTTTCCAGAGTTTCCATACGGCGTGTAATACGATTTACAACTGTTAGAAGGGTTTTGTATTTAGACAATCTGAAGAAAGACATGCCAACATGATATGTATTTACAAGGCGCAGAGTATCTAAATAAATCTTCGTATCCGCGGCTCTCGCGATACTCCAACCATTCTCTGCGCATTTTGTATGCCGAACAGTGATGCATGTAAACCAAGCCACACACGTGCCGCACTTGAACATTAGCTTCCACGATTGGAGCTATTTACGTGAAAATCTTGTTAGCATCGGTGGTACCTATGGCCTTATCAAGCTTTTTTGATGGTTCGTGTTATAGTGTGAGTGTGATAGTATAATTCCTGGCGCTATACTGTAGAATTTTCACATTGAGATATGTGAAAGATTTCAGGCATGCACTACACCCAGACGAAAAGCATCGTCATCGCCGAAGAGGATGGAAACGAAATGTTGGCTTCCTGACATGGATTAAATCCACCCGTATCTGCCGACCATGATGTACAACATACGTCGGGATATAAACACTTACAATGTTCATCCAATCCTTTCCCCTCATTCAAATATAGAAAAGATCCGTATCCGTGCCCCTGGTGATGATCGCATCTAGGAACAGAGACATGAAAAAATTCTTAATAGGCACAGTATCTGCGGTCGTGGCTGAAAATGGCTGAGGATTTTCCGATGAAGGGGTGTTATTGGATCAAAAAAGTCTAAGCGAGCTTGGCATAACATCATTCTCCCGATCTTCCAATTATTTTCCCTTTGCACTTTTCCATCCTTTTCCGAATTTGTGGAGTTGGGTTCACAGCCTTTTCAGGGTTCTCTTTCGTACCTGAAGACTAATGTATTCAATATATTTAAACTTACGCCTGCGATGATTCTGAGTGGATGATGATGGTGATCGTCGAGAACTAGGAAAGAACACTGGGGCGATGACCAGCCACCAACACGATTAATGGTAGTACCATTACTATTTACCCGCCATTTCCAAGATATTGACCGTATGATGTACAAGATCATTGTGGGGTGATTGGGAATGCGATACAATATAAAAGTATCGAAGAAGCTCTTCGTTTGAGTTATCATACAAGCCACTTCAACCCATCATTCACCATCAAAGCAAAGCCTACTTGCAAAGTAACTTATCCTTTATTGTCAAGGCAGTGTTTACATCAAAGCCTCCTCAGAAGAAGCAACTAGAATCAGCTATACCATAAACTTTAGCTACTTAAGGTTCACACATCTCTCATACTTTACCAAACCACATACCACATACACACAAACACAAACACATCAAAATGTTATTCTCAACCACCAATATCTTGAGCACTCTTGCTCTCCTCACCTCCGTCACTTCCGCCGCTCCCACCAGACGACAAACCTACTCCACCCCACCCAAATCCACATCTACTCACTTCACACTGGTGGCAAACGTTACCTCCGGCGATCTCGCCATCAACCACTTCGTTCTCGAATCTTATCATACTGGCGCCGGAACTGCATATGCAGTACTCGCCGAAGATAACACTGAAGCCAATCCCCGCATTTTCTACATCAACGGCACCGCCATCGATGTTCGCTTCGGCAATTCCTCCACCCTTACCGATTCCGGCAGCGGATCCGACTCTTTCCCCGAATCCCTCACCATCACACCTTCCGACCCTGCATCTTCATCTTCCGGCCGTTCAACAGTAGAGATCAATGCCGGAGCTGGTCAACCTTACGTAGGACTTACTGCATCTCCGATCCAAACCACTCAACTTCATGGATACCAGGGAGAAACTTTCTACGCTTGTAACACTACCCTTCTATATGGTCCTGCTATTCAACTCTTCTACAGAGGATATAGCCAAGAGACCCCAGCTGGATGTTCAGATGTTGCATTGTTGCCTCAATGTAGTGAGGGTAGTGGAGCAGAAGATGCTTCCGCCGCAACGGTCAGCTGTTACGATGATGTAGCCGCTATTGATTGGAGCGTCTACAGCGCATGAGAGTTAGGAACTAGTCGTTATGAGAGAAGCTGAGGCAAACATGATTTATGAGCGGCATGCATGGTAATGAGCATTTAATGGGCGTTTTGGAAAAGGTTACAGGGTTTATGATACCATACCGCTATCGGGTACAAACGATGAATAGATTACTTAATGAAGAAAAGAATTAATGACGAATGTTAAGAAATTTTACAGTTTTATCTGACTTTCTATCTCATGCTTTGGTTTAAGTGACTATTAAATCGATTTTTGAAATAATATATCCTTAAACGTCCATGTAAACCAATTACGATCTCTTGACTAGTAAACCTTCATAGCCTTATGGAAGATCAGTGAACTAAAGTAATGTACACCGACGAGAGAAACCTCGAGATAAGTCGGTGAGAAAGTAATTGATCAATATGAAGATACATTTCCGTAAATCAAAATAGTTACGAGACCCTAACAAAAAGAATATAAAGATAAAAGGGGTATCTATCCTATAACTCCACCTATACCAGGACTCCTTGATTTTGATATGCCAATCCCAGATTATTCATCTCCTTCATACCCCTCCAAGGTCATATCTAAATCCATCCCCTCATCCCCATCATCCCACTCGACTCCAATCTTTCCAAACAAGCCTCTAGCCCTCCTCCTCTCATCCTCCCTCTTCTCCATTCCCCTTCTAACCTCTGCCTCTCGTTGTCGTCCCAGAAACCTTCTATCAGCTTCCATCGCTCCCCCTCTCATTTTACCCAACCATTCCTCATCACCTTCCCATTTTTCTGGTACACATAGATTTCCAACATATAGAGCTACCATTCCTCTGAGACGAAGCAGGACTCTAGAATCAGAGTATGGAGGTGTCGTCATCAGTTCATCCATTCTTTGAGCTACCAGTTCTGTGGCTACTAATGCGGCTCGTCGAACTTCATCTCTTTCTTCCCAGCGCTTTTCTTTTCGTCGTTTATGGAGACGGTCTTGGCGACGTTGATGGGCTAAGAATGCTTTATCCCCTGGGTCTCCTTCTTCGTCGTTATCATCCATATCTTCTTCTTCTTCACTGATGTCACTATCACTTATATCCCCATCTTCGTCCTTTTCTGCTTGCTTGGCAATCTTTCGTAAACCATCCTTATGCTCAAATTGTATTCCATAAATTTCGCAACCAAGCATCGCAGGCCAGAAATCAAGCGCAGTAACTGAACCGTGGAATTGTCGTTTGTAAGGATACTGTAGAATAAGACGTTCGTAATAATCTTTTACTTTGAGAAGTCCTTCAGCTGTACCATATCTTTTTTCTTCGCCTCCCTTGTCTTCCCCTTTTCCGTCTTCCTCTCCCTCCTTTGGTTCTCCGTCATTGTTATTCCCATCATCACCACTCCCTTCTCCCGTATCCTCTTCCCACCACTCCTTTCTCTGTTTATTAGTCACACCTCTCATCAGTAACTCAGCTCCGATCCCCCAAAATCCGGTCTTCCTAATTTCAATTCCCTTCCCCGCAATCTGCATCCGTAAAAGTAAACTCCAAGCCCGTCCTGCCCTCTCCATATCCCCCTCTTCCAAATTCCTCATCATAATCGCAACCAATACACTTAAATGTTGAATCTTCAAATTCGACCTCCCAGTCTTCTTTTCTTCCTTCTTACGTCTTTCCCTTTCTCTCCGGCTTTTGGCGGATTCTTCTTCGGAATCCTCGTCTTCACCGTCTCGAGGTTTTACAGCAGAGTCGCGATCGTCGGAAGTTACAGAATATCTAGAAGGTAAACCTCGATGCGGCCAATTCTTAACGCCAATTTTTGATGGTAATTCTTTATCGAGTCCCAAGCCAGCTAATCGATATTGCATCACCTCTGCGGGCGTTAAACTCAATGGATTTGTATTTTCGGCAGAAGGGTATGACGTTCCTCCATCATCTATTTCCTTTCCCTTTCCTGAATTGGTATTTGTGTTCGCAATATAATCATTATTGTACTCGTCATCTTGATCGCTATCGCTATCGCGTCGTTTTCGTTTTTGGGGTCGTATAGAGAGAGGCGCGAAATGGACTTGAGGAGTGGTGGCAGATGTTTGAGATGTATCAGATATGGGAAGAGTGAAGAGTGGCATATTATATAACATATATGAGAAAAGAAATAGTGAGTCCCTAGATGAATGATTTCTAGATGAGGGAGAGGTTTGATTTGGAAAAAGTTGATGAGGCTATGCTTCAGCCTTGGTAGATTGATTCATGTGTGGCTGCTGTGGCTTCTGTGGCTTTACGATAGAGTGCGGCGGAACCGTGTTCAATGAACTTCTTTGCTTGGAGATTTTCACCATACATTACAATTGCTACTCAATAAAAGTTCAATACAAGAATCTATTTCGAATCAAGATACTTAGCTTAACATTTGAATTCCATATCCAATCATCTTTCCATCGCTAGGTATCAAGATATACAATTCAAATGAAAACACCTCATATTTCAAATCCTTCCTCTTCACGCCCTGTTGACCCCAAGATAAGAATCCACTTTGTTTCGTTATATCGAACATATTAAAATATCAATGGTACCTATACCCTCCTTACATACGATGTCGCCTTGGCCAACTGTAAACTGGCTTCTGTAACAAAACGACCCTCATGTTCACCCGCTTCCAATACTCAGAGTTTCTTCCCTTGGTGCGATCGAAAAGCTCTGTGTGTTTATTGTACTTGTCTCTTAAATTTCTAATGCGCTGTGTCTTCCAAGAACTCATTTCATCGGATATTCTGGCTGCCAGATTGTCAAGGAAACTGGAATTCATCTCTATGCATTCAAGGTCGACACGGGGATCATATCCAACGAGGTCCCGAAAGAAATCATTTCCCTCGACTCTAATTGTCAGAATTTCGAGATTTGGACATGCAGCTTCTATACGTTCGATTGCGTCTATATCATATAAATATTCGCCATCCAGCGACAGATGCTTGACTGGAGTAAGTCCCGATAATTCATGTTCCCAAGTGTCTCTCTCCTCTAACCATAAGTATGTATGTACGATATCTTTGTCCGGGTTGAAAGGTAGAAGATTAAGCGCGGTAACGTTTTCAGGGTCTTGTGCCGCCTCCCCATCACTCATTGGTTGGAATACAAACGTATAACGTTCTTGTACAACTTCATGTGATTCTTTGCATGCCAATTGGAGGGAATTCTTAGCATTAGACACCTCAAGTAATGGTAGGAGATGCCATGTTCCAATTTCCCAATCGTCTGCAAAGACATGGCGACCTTCCAGAAGTGCAGCCTTCCATATCATTCGACGAAGTTCAAGGGGCAGACTTGTGAACTTGGGAAATTTGTTCGTCGGATCTTGGGGCAAACTTGATTGAGCTATCTTCTGGTCCAGAGGGACCGCATTCGGGGAATGAGGCCGAATTCTTTCGAAGAGATTGATCACGTGTGGACCGGGTAAAAACGTCAGTTGATCTTTTCTCCTTTGTCTTTGGGCTTTCAGCAATGTTCTCTGAGACCTCGATTTTCCACGGTCTGATAGTACCCGCTGGAAATAAAGGTTGGGTAATACTCACTCATTGAATTTCTGTTCTCTGCCTCTTGTGCAAGTGTGACAAGGTCGGGACTTCAGTAGCACCCTAGGAAGATTTTTCTTACTCTTGAAAGAGTGTTTGGCGCGGTAAGCAATATTCTTCATCGCGATTCGGGCCATTTCCTCCATATTCTCTACTTCGTTTATCTTTCTTTCATTTGACACCAATCTTTTATGCTGCTCCATCATCTTCTGAGACAGATCATACATCTTCTCGGGGTGAGCGTCACGCGAGTGTCGTTGAGACCTCAAGATGGATCTCCTTTCTAAATAGATAACTTTCAATAGACTGATTCCATCATTTCTATGAGCAATTCTTCTTTCCCGCTCACAAGAAAGTTTAAGCTGTATAGTTGTCACCAAGTCTTGAGTACGAGTGACTATATCTCTAGCATGGACTGTATTAATCATTCGTTAGCGAGGACTGAAATTGGTACATTATTTTGCAAAGAGAGTTCTTTGGACAGGTCTTACTTGTTTGAAGAAACTTTCTATGACTCTTGTTCGTAGCTTTCTTCACGTCATTCAATATGCTTTGGAAAGTTTGGGCCTCCTTGGTCCATATCAAAGGGTCGTTTTCGCGCGGTATCTCCATGATATTTTGTCAGTCGTTTGTATCGATACCAGGTAACAGATCCAAAATTCTTTTCGTTATGGTACTGAGTTATGTATTGATAATAGACAGATTTTATAATTGCAGTATAAACTCAATTTGGCACTAGAGAATACTAGAGGACTAGTCTGGCTTCACGTGATGTTACCTCAACCACTAGCCCTAGTCACAAACCCGCGATTATCTGATTACCTATGTCAACGGAGTTAATCCATTCTGTGGGGGAAAGTCCGTGGACTTCAGCGGTTAAGTATGGGATTCGTAGCTGCTTCTTAGCATTTGGATTACTATTACGCAGGCCAGAGCACACGGTTCTTGTAGATTTGATGGTGTATCATAAATCATGACGCGTGCTTGCGGCGAGGTATGTTCAGTATGCCCACAATGGTATGGCGATGACCTCTTGTTGTAGAATAATATATCTCTACCAGAGCTCTAGTAATGGAAGAAAACACCATATGCATCTTGCTCCTCAATTTCAAGTCGACCTCAGTACCCTCGAGATACCTTAGTCAAGACGACAAAAGCCAAATTACTATCGAACACCGACCTAAACTTGACCCCGCCCTTGACGAGATCCTCATTCGCACTCATGCATTAGCTGCCAACCCGGTCGATTTGAAAATCGAAGCCTAAAATCTCTTCGTCACTTCCTATCCCAACTTCCTCGGCAGTGACTTTTCAGACACTATCGAATCCGTCGGTTCCTCTATTACGAAATTTGAAGTCGGAGAAAGAGTCACTAGATTCGCTGCAGTTATCTACAACGACAAAATACATCATGGGGCTCGGCATTATGTAGAGAAACTGCAACGACGAACATTCCGGATTATTTGAGCTTTGAGGATGCGAGTACTTTTCCCAAGGCTATGGCTACAGATGCCTTGGGGTTCTATCTGCTACTGGACTTTTCGAGAATGCTTGGAAAGGGAGAGAAGATAAATGAAGGAATGTAAGTTTGGGAGGAGCGTCTCCTGTGGGGACTGCCATCATACAACTTGGTAATCTGGCGTGATGTAAAGTCTTCGCGACGGCTAGTAAGAAACATCACGAGTGCCTTAAATCTGTTGGTGCAACTGCTACTTTCGAATACTGGCATCCGGAGGTTGTAAAAAATATTGTAGGGGAAGTTGACACTTTGGATGTTTATCTCGCAATCGGATTTGACGCCATCACAGAGAATGATATCCCTCAACTCTCGGCTGATATTTTATCAACTACGGGGCATGGTAAGAGCAAACTTGTCTTGACTCTCCCTTGGCCAGAAGATTACACAAATCTTGAAGACGTTGAAGTCTTCAAGTCCGCGCCTGCTCTTCTTGGTACTAATGCTCAAGATGTGAGTGCATTGTTTTTCAATGATTTTTGAAAGATGCTTCGGAGAAGAAGTATGTGGTTATCGCTTCGCCAGTAGCGATTATACAAGGAGGTATTGCAAGTGCGCAAAAGTTTTTTGATATGTTGAAAGAGGGTATCAGTGGAAAGAAACTTGTTGTGAAGGTTGAGTACCTAGGTAGGCTTAGAGGAGTTCTTTCGGTTGGCAAAGGAGTGGTGAGGGAGTTTCTTGGGTGTTTTGGGGATGCTTGATTCATGCGGTTTTGGTACCCTTTACATTTCTTTTTTGTTCGTGTCTCATGTTGTTTGTTTGCATCAGCGAAACTTTTTGCCACGCATCGTTACATATCAACTCATTCGTGATCTCTTTCGCGATTCCACCTGTCCCCGTGCTCATTGATCACCACCCTCTTAAAGTAATGACCAACAAGCACCCCTCACCGAGTTGTACAAAGAGCGGTGTACCCACTGATTTACCTCTTACTACCCCACTTCATCATTAGCGGCATCTAGTTACAGCTGCCAGCCGTGCCAGCGAATATTAGAAACAATCTTTACCTTCTAGGGCTATACATTTTCTTTACTTTAAAGTATTCGGAAGAAATTATGGACGATGATTGGTTCAATCATCCAGAGTAAATAGAAGTAAACAATGTTTAGACGTGCAACAAAAATCTCCAGGTATCGTGAAGATTCTAGTAAGGGGTTGAAATTTCGCAATCAAGACCGATTGGTGGAGAGGGTGAAGTAAATAATCTTTAGATGTGCAACATAAGAGATGGAGAGCAATGGTAGGTGCATGCAAGATTCCCGAGGCGGGAACTGACCCACCATTATGGTGTGCACGATCTGAACCCCTGATCTACTCTGGGATGTACATGCTGTATCGTAGTTCTACATGGGATGTTTCGAATTTTTAAGTCAGATGTTCTGTTGCGCGAGGAGGAAAAAGTAAGTGTTGCATTCTATCAATTCTGCTCGGTGTCTATTGAAAGGTTACCATACTCGGTCAATTGATTCATATTCGGGGCTGCTTGTTCTATCCTATTTCTTCTTAGATTTGATGGACTGAGTGAAAGAGGGTTCTGAATCATATGAATGTATGTGTAGTAATGATCTCTTCATTGGAATGATCATCTGTAGTACCTAGTCCTCATTAGAATATCGATGACAAATTTTGTCTATCCAAACATCGTCATCACCAGTGCTGATAGCCAAGCTTTGTCCTGATTCTAGACACCTAGTCTTCGATATCGATACCAAGGTATCTAGTAGAATTATGATGTGCGGTATTTGTACGGTGAGGAAAGTAAATAGAAATTTTCGATATCGCGAAGAATATCAAATATATAGCCCGAATCGGCTAAGTGTGAGGATTTCAAGAGATGTTTGAATTTAGGCCTCTCGAGCTTGATATGTAGATGGATTTTCTGTGGGATTTGAATGGCTGCATGCTGAAGGGTATAATTTCTTTGGCCTTTTAACTGACTGAATTATTAAAGCTGTGCATACTCAGCTTAAGAGGAATGTCCAGTGAGTATGTACTATGTAGATATCGGAGCACGAGTATTTGAGCTATGTAAGGGATTTGTAGACTTATGAGAGCAAACTTGTGTGATTCTGACGTGAGAGTTCAATCAGAGAGGCTCTCTAGATATTCACTTTGGCTCAAAATGTGCTGTACAGTCTTAGCTGAAGCTTTGCGATGGTATGAGAAATGATGGCGTGGAATTCAATTATCATCGGGCTGAATCTGAACTTTCTGTTGGTCAGCCCGAGAAGTAATCGACGTGTGAATGATTCCAGTCTTGAAATAAAGAGAGAGAGAGAGAGAGAAAGATATTTCCTTGGTTTATGAAAGCTCCAGCTCTTTTTACTCCCATATTCTTTCGATTGGAAACTAAAATGAGTTGGCCAGATACCATGTACATCACTACACAGCATTTATTCAGCATGATTCTTACCTTCGAAGATTATCTTTCGCGCAAACGAAGATGGTAAACAGATGCCTGGATACTAACCAGCCAATCTCAAATCTCTGAAACTCATGAACTTTCGAGGTTTATGGTCGACTTCCCACAGTCTCTGGCATGCGACCGGACTCTTATAAATCTTACTTCTGGTGATGCGGCTTAATCAAATATAACAATTCAAAGCGCAAAGGAATTTGAGAATAAGTAAAACTTTTCTCACGTGGACATGATATTGACTACAACCAGACTCAGTGTATAAAGTCGAAGCGAAGGTTTTCGAATGCGAGAGGAATGCATTCAACATCACAACGGAAATGGGAGGTAATATATAAGTATATCGTGAAACATGAAATTCTATACTATCTAAAGTTTCTACTATAAGAAATTTTCTAAAAGAACAAGAGCGATTTGTTTTTTCGCTTGAATCCCCCAAAGTACGCCGTATACGTGCAAACGCGTTGAATCGTGAAGGATTATAGATTATATGCAATTGTAAAAGTAAACTCCTCCCCAGCCGATACCCAAAACCCAAGATAATAATACTAATTATAATAAGGAAAAAACATGAAATCTAAAGGCAGTTGTGCCATGATATAAAAGTTGATTTTACATCTTAAGAGCTTGCTTCACGAGCTTGGCCAAATCGTTTGTCTGTGATGATGAGTCAGCAAATTACCCCACATACATTGAACTTCAGAGAATTAACTTACGATTGGATCTCTCATCATCGTGAAATGATTTCCACCTGTGCTCATACATTTGATGTTTCCCTCTCCGACTAACTTCTCCCATCCATTGTGCCCGAGATCTTTGCGATCATGGGTCAACCAGTCCATGGAGTTGGGCATCCTCACCTTAGGATCCCACTCTGGCTTTAGGTCATCTTCCTTGTGGACAATACCATCACGGGCCCAAATGGCGATGGTTTGTGGCATGTTGACAGTGTTGATGGATGGAAGAGATCCCAAGTGATCAGAGTAGGCAGTGAGTTCGCGTACGGTGGAGAAGAAATGGGGAAGGAGCCATTTTGGCAATGACTCAAGTCCACCATCGCCAAGAAGACCAACCTTGGCACAATATTGATGGAAGGAAGCTGGTAAGGCCTCAAGTCCAATAGGGAATGGTGAATCGATCAAGACGAGTTTCTCGACCTTCTCACCCTTTGCGATCAACTGGCGGGTACATTCGTACGCAAGGACACCTCCGGCAGACCAGCCTCCAAGGAGATATGGTCCATGTGGTTGACGACGCTGGATTTCGGCGAGGTAAATCTGAGTGACTGCTGGGACACCGATATTGAAATCTGTGGGGTCTTTCATGAAAGGGCAATTGAGACCAAACACAGCTAGATCTTGGTCAATTTGAGGAAGTGGGGCATACGAAGAAGCGACACCAGAACCATCTGGAAGAAGGAAAAGTGTGCGAGTTGCGGTCTTTGGGTTACCTTGCAAAAGGATAGACTTTGATGGAGGGTACTGGGATACATTGATAGGTTTAGCAACTTGAGTTGGAGCAGCTTGTTGTACTGATGCTGATGTGGAAGTCACCTTGGTGACCTTTGTTGTCTTCTTAACCTCAACAACCTTTGGCTGCTTGGCTGCTCTTAGACCCAAAGTTGTTTCAATCTTTTCCACGCTGGTGTTCTCGACCAATAGCTCGGAACTCAGATTCAGGCCAGTCTTCTCTCTGAGCGCACCCAAGATGCTCAAACTCATGAGAGAATCCATACCCATTGTAGCCAGATCTGTGTTATCAGTTATCTCCTCAATTTCAACGCCCATCTCCTCCGCAATGGTAGATCTGATGATTTGAATGATTATTGCATTCTCGCTATCTCCATCACCATCGACGGCAGAGATTTCAGGGTCGCTTTCAACTAGATCAAACCCGTCATCCCCAATTTCGCTCGAACGGCTAGAAACCATTTCCGGGGTAGACATTCCTGAACTTTCAGCACTGTTATCGTCTTCGAATCTCGTCATGTAAGCTTTGAGATGGTCTACAGTAGGCTCATGTTCAAAGACACTGCTCTGGAAGTCAATCTCAAGATCTTCACGGAATCGGCCAGAAATGCTCAGACCAAGAAGTGAGTCGACGCCCATATCAGAGAATCTCATCGGGCCTGCCAATTCATCGACATCGCATCCGATCTCCTCAGCCATGATTGCCAATGCTTTGGAGAAGAGACCCCTTGAAACTGGTTTACTGACAATTTTGAGATCAGGCTTGGAGACTGCCTTTGATGGTTTAGATGCAACGGCTTTGGTTGGAGCTGGAGCTGCTTTGGCACCACCACGAGCTAGAATAGCTTTTGGTGCAAGTAGAGTCTGAAGAAGAGTGCGGGGTACGCGCTGGAATTTGATACCACCAACGACTGCGATGATTTCATCCCCTTCAAAGACGTATACATCACCAGCAACCATCTCGCCACCACCTGGTACCTTCTGCATCTTGATGTAAGATCTGTACTCTTTGTCGGCTGACATGTTCTTGGCGAATCTCATCGACTCCCATCCGTGTGAGATATAGACATGCTTGGTGGAATCGACAGCATCGTTGGCATTCATGATGAATCCGGAAATGTGGCAAACACTGTCGATCCAGTATGGACTCATGAAGAACTTGCCATCATTTTCTGATGTCTGGAATTGTACTTTGGCGGTTGCCTCACACTGTTCACTCCACAGATATACTTCATCCATTCCACGATATTGTTGAGCGTAGTCGACAAGAGCGCCAAACAATTTGTAAGCCATTCCTCTTTGAACCTTGTGAACCTCTTTGTGGCTCATCAAAGTCTCAATTCGTCCTTGGACAAGGAACTTGCGACGGTCCCAATCTTTCAACCAAGATGATGAATCCTCAAGAGTCACTTCACACTTGGTCTGTTCAACTGGCTTTCCATCTGTTCCGAATGTGCGGAAGTTGACGGTTCCGCGTCGATGAGTAAGATCAAGCTTGGTCTCAATTTGAAGGATGTGAGTTTTGGCGTTCTTATCGAGAACCAATGGCTTATGGGTTTCCATACTTCCGACATTGAAACCAACAGATTTAGCATCTGGCTGAGCGAGCTTAAGTGCATAATCGCAGATAGTCAAAGCCATATCACCATAGATGGATGATGGGAAGAGTGGTTGGCCATGAACCAAGTGACCAGAAATGGCGGCCCGAAGCTTTGGTTCCATAAGGTCAGACTCCGCGACAACATTAACGTTATCCTCATCAACAACCTCGGAGAGAATCTTTTGCACGGTAGTTGTCGAGAAGGTTGGTCGTACT